ACCCACCATCTTGGCAAACCTTGCCAAAGATTTGCCGAAGAAGAAGAAGAAGAAGAAGAAGAAGAAGAAGAAGAAGAAGAAGAAGAAGACCTGCGGACCTGTCTCTTATACACATCTAGATGTGTATAAGAGACAGCACACACACACACACACACACACACACACACACAAACACACGCTCACGTATCACATCCAGAGGTGTCCAGAGTTCACTTAGTGTACTGACCTGCTCCGCTGATACCAACCACACCAATTGTAGTAGATGGAATTCTTAATTGCTTTTCAAGGTCTTCACACATCTTCAACCTTCACAAGTACAACCAAGTCAAGCCACATGTCAGAGTAGGATTGGCCAGGTTCGCGTTCAAAATAGAGAGAGATCTCCAAGGTGGAGCAGAAGTCAGATAACAGCCAGCCAGAGAGGCCATGCAATCAGTTGAGATAAAGTTGACCAGACATGAACTGCCTCACACAGTGGTCATGTCTTGAAAAACTGATCAGGACTTGAAATATTGAACTCAGATCTGTTTATAAAAAGCTACCACTCAGTCAGAGCCTCACATGGTGGTCATGTAGGTACCGCTCAGTCAAAATGTGGGCGGAATTTGAACCCTCTATATATTGGCACTGCATGATTTGGCGCTCGAGAGGGACAGTTTGATGTTCCCCAGAATGTTCCAAAGGGGCCATGACCCTGAGGTCATGCCCTTTTTTTAGACCGCCACTAAGTCCCAAAGGTGCACCGGTTAATTCGCTCCGATGCATGGGTCTGCCTGCAGTGGTGGTTTACCGTTTAACGGAACTTTAACCCGAAAAGAAAAGATATGTTTGCGACGTATAGTATACTGCATTTTCAGATTGTTCCAGAGATGAACCTGTTGTTGCATAATATTTTCAGGACCTTTGTGTCTTATTCAGATCTGACCAACCAAGCCACCTGTGTGTGCACCGGTTAATTTGCTCGGATGCATGGGCCTGCCTGCACTGGTGGCTTAACCCAAAAAGAAAAGATATGACCCTGTAGTTGAAAATTGAAATAATGTTTTCATGACCTTTGTATCTTATTCACACCTGACCAACCAAGCCACCTGTGTGTGTGTGTGTGTGTGTGTGTGTGTGTGTGTGTGTGTGTGTGTGTGATGATGTGTATGTGTGTGGGTGGGTGTGTGTGTGTGTGGGTGTGTTTTAGATTTTCACCACAACAGCCCCTATTCCAGCCAGATGAGTAGATCCAAAATCGAAGCAGCTTTAGTCCTATTGCAGACAATGAAAACACTTGAGTTGAGACAATCGAAGAACGAATGATATTTTACCTCTATAGCAAGCAAGATGGAGCACAATAGATCCATTTAAAATTTAAATCCCTTTCTTAAACCCCAAGTACACCGCTCACGCCAACTTTTGAGGTTGAAAATGAGTCATTTCCAAAAAGTTAGGGGAATCGCCCCAGGGCAGGCCTTGGGGTGGGCAGATTTTTTTTCCCCTGTCCTGCGCGGCGCCAGTGCCCACCCTGGGGCAAGTCCCATAACTTTCCGGAATGACTCATTTTCGACTCAAAAGTTTGCCGGGGTGGTGTACTTGTGGTCTAACTGTGGTTACTTCGGTTTTCTTTGGGGTACCCCTTTCATTTGTTGTTGCAGCCCCCATCTTACTATGCCTCTCACGTACAAGGCTGGCCACATTGATTGTGGTTGAGCGTCATTTGCCTGCATCCCCGTGTGCCTTAATGGCACACTTAGATCGTGCCCTGCCAGCAATGCAGGGTGTCTCTGAATGTTCTGAGGTGAATAGTGTAACCCAGCCCAGTTTCTCTTGTTTTTTTTTCAAATCCGATTTTGATTGTTTTTTTGGGCCCACCAGGCCCACCTGTTCTCACCTCTACCTAGCCTGATCACTGTTCATTTTGGTGCGGGATTCGTTCCTGAGAAAAATGAACAGTGTCAGGCCTCTTGGACTGGTGGTGAGAGAAGGTTAACAACAGTCGTATTTTTCATCACCACTTCAGGACACCCTTCACCACTTCTAGATGCAGCCTGCCTAAACAGGTGGTTTTCAGGGTCTTCGGACCTTTCACCACTTCAGGACCATTCAGGTCTGAAAATCTTGAAGTGGTGAAAGCTCCGAAGACCCTGAAAACCACTTGTTTAGGCAGGCTGCATCCAGAAGTGGTGAAGGGTGGTTTTCATGGTCTTCAAACCTTTCACCACTTCAGGACCATTCAGGATTTTCAGACTGCCCAAAACTCTCACTTGACCACTTCAGGACACCCTTCACCACTTCAAGATGCAGCCTGCCTAAACAGGTGGTTTTCAGGGTCTTCGGACCTTTCACCACTTCACGACCATTCAGGATTTTCAGACTGCCGAAAACTCTCACTTCAGAATTTTCATTCCTGAATTTTCAACTACCCGATAACCGCTTGTGCTGGTGGTTGGGAGGGATATTGGGCAAGTAATTAGGGGTTGGGAGGGATGAGTACAAGACAAAGGGTCGCAGTTTTCGTGGCAGAGGCTGGCAGTGACTATCCCTTCAAGGTGTTCGGAGCAAAGACTATGCCGCGTGCATGCTAACCAAACTGTAGCTGTGTAATGACCCGCCAAAACACAAACTAAGAACACTACTGATTTCTGAGTTCTGCCGCTGGAACGGATGCCTTGCTGAGATTCCTGCATTCTGCTGAGTTTTCTAAGTCAGTGTGTGTGTGTGCATCCTTGATGGTTTGTGTGCCTGTCTGAGTGCTGGTCGGCCTGAGTGTGTGTGTGACCCCCAAGGGTACTTGCTTGTTTGGGAGGCCTGTAGGGCCGGTACTTAACTGTGGCCGTGACATTGAGGGTTGCAGCGGAAAAACACTCAAGTAGCAGGTAGGCGTACCACACCAAGTAGAAGTAGATGTGTCGGGTACTCGAGGCCCAGCGGAAGAAGACAAAAGTTAGCATTTTTAGAGGCCCCGTAGTTGTAGGCTAGGTCGAGGCGGGTACCAGTCCAGCTAGTCTGAGTTTAGGGTCTGTACGGGCAATATCAGAGTCTGCAATGATGTCTCCCTTCGAAAGGGAGAAGGTACCGGTTGCTTGGAGGCCGCGCGGCCTAGGAATTCACCACCCAAGAGACAAGTAGGCTGCTATATCTCCAGGAGGAGCAAAGTGCTCCTTCTCATTCTTCGGTGTGCAAGTTTGGTGACACACTGCTTGGAGCGTTGGCTGGAGGAGCGTTGGGCACTTCAGCGCTGCTAGGAGGAAGGTGACCGGGAGCTCCCACCTCGGCTATGGTGGAGCTCTACCGGTAGGAGGAGAAGGAAGAAGAGGACCGATGATGAGAGTGGCGAGGTACTTACCTGGCTACGGTGGGCACCATCGTCATCACCTTGTTAGGCGCTGCATCTGGAAGGCCCCAGTTGGGGTTGCACCGCACCAAGAAGGCTTCAAGGCAGGGTCAGGCATGGCAGCCTGAACAGCAGCGAGCATAGCTGCTTTGTGTTGTCTTTTTCCCAGCAGGGTGGGGCCCTAGTAGTCAGCCATAGGAAGGTGGCCATGGCTATGGTGGACCTCATGTTGTGACTGCAGTAGAAGAGGGATTCGGACATTGATTTTGGTTCAGCCATTCATCATTATTATTGTTATTTATTGTTTGAATATAAGGGGAGGAGAAAAGGAGGAGGAGAGTGGTTGGTGAAAACGAAGGGAATTCTCATTGGTCTCTGCCGGTGTACATCTTCTTCTTCTTCTTTCTTTCATCTTCTTCTTCTTTCCCTTTCTCTCCTCTCAAGTTCATTCATTTCTTTTTGCAATTGGACGGCATTGTACTTTCTGATGGATGTGTACTTCGAAATTGGCCAGGATTGTAACAGCTGTGTGATGACAGAATGGGATGGCACAGCTGCCATCCTCTGGATAGGCCCCTTCACTATCCGTGGTAGGATCCATCCGGCCTATGCAGGGAGGGAATGCTGCCTGGCCATTCACAGGGGAAGGAGGAGGTTCAGCCGGATTGTTCTTCGGGGGCTCTAGAGCTTGCGAGTGCATAACGGCATACGGTTCCTAATTGACAAGCCATACCGAGTGATGTTCTATAGGGTCCACGACTTATCCGCAAAGGCAACAACTCTGAAATGATCTGGACGATGTAGGATGTATGAAAGAATATTCGGATCCATGTCGGGCATCTGATTCTGTGGAGAAGGCTGGAGTTGTAGTCATCTACCCATAAATGACCAGTGCAGTACTGCCATCCTCTGGGCACGGTGCTCTTCTTCTATCCAGCGGACAACGCTTGCAAAATCAAAAACAGTATAAGGATTGCAATTGTAAGTGAGGAGACATACATTAACGACACAGTACGCACAATGGCCTCGCTATAGCACTATGAGATCATTTGATTCTACAGGTTGTGAAGCAGGGGAAGGTTCATTCAGTTCTGCAGATTGCACGGCAGGCGGAGATTCATTGCGGGCTTGACTATTTCTGTCAGTTTCCTCCGACTGTATTAACACCATTGGCTTTAGCATGTGCTCCGGAGAGAGATCATCTTCGGTCGGGAGCTCCATCAAGTGATCAGAAGGTGGATCATAGCAATTGGGGCGGGGAGAAAGCGGGGCTAGGTGGATGAGGAATGGGTGGGTCAGATACAGGAAGCGGAAGCTGATCAGCCGCACTTGTGCTCAGACTGGCTGCTAATCGTGCAAATGCTGCACAGGTGGCTGCACCTCATGTCTGCTGCACACGCAAGCCTGCAGCACACGCAGGCCTGCAGCACTGGAGAAATCATCGCCACATTATGGGCATCGCACTCAAGATGTACTATTCCTGGCTAGTGTATATCGAGGGCGATGATGTCGTTCCATACGGTTGCAAGCATGGCATCGGAGCAGATCTCTTACCCCTGCAGGGGGCGTGGTGATCATATTGTCCAAGGACAAACAAGGCCACTGTCTTGGAGGTGGCAGTGGTGACAGGGAACGTCTCTGCCGAAGATGCATCTATGACGGTTCATATGACAATGGACACCTTCACCAACGAAGCCTTTGTGACAGCTATTCTGACTATGAATGTGTTGATGACGAGGTCGATGACAAAGGGGAGGCATGCTACGTGGAGGAGGAGCGAGAAGAGGAAGAGGGGGAAGAAGAGGAGCCAGATGACTGAGGGGATGATGTAGTAGAAGATGTCGGCAGGGGAGGTGGTGGTGATCGTGGTGGTACTATACGATCTTTGCGCCTGAATGTAAACAGACAGGCATGTGTGGTGATGATGATGGTGGCAGTGATGGCCGTTGTGGTGGTGGAGGAGGTGGTCGTGGTGGTGGTGGTGGTGGCCGTGGTGGTGGCGGTGGTGGCGGTGGAGAAGGTACGCTTTCAGCATCAGTCGCCGCATTGGGAGGATGCATGCCTTCATCCTCTGCAGCCACTTCCACAACGTTTGCATTGTTTGTTGCGGCTGGTCTGGTCTCCAGCTGAGTTGGTGTATCCACATGAGCGTCTTCCATTTCAGTAGGAAGAACAGGAGAGGGCGGGCCCGCTGTGTTTGACAGTGTGGAGGGCTGATGCCGCTTGTGGTCAAAATTGGTGTTCAAGAGTGGGTGGTGGCTTATTGCGTTTGGTTGTGTGGAGGACCAGTACGCAGAATTAGCATTCGGCAGTGAGTGAGCAATACACCATGTGGCGAAACCAGTTCGAGAGCCATGTGACATGAGTCAGTAGCTGACGCTGCCGGTAATGCACATATGCAGTCCAGCCTCTGGTCAGGACACTGGGAGGATGGCCCCTTACGACCAGACATCGTGTCACGGAATTGACTGTAGCTTTCAAGTCTTTGGTATTATTACATAAGTTCAAACCTCATTAGTTGTCCAGTGAGCACACCTGCGGGCTGATGAGCAGGGGCATTGGAGGAAGCACTGGGATAACGTATGAGAGGGGATGTCCAGGCGGGGGTGGAGATGTCTTCCAAGATAGGATGTTATAAAGGAATCGATATGTGAATGCATATGCTTGTGCTGCGTGCTGACCACAATAGCCCCTCATCCACCCAGATGAGTAGAACCAAAATCGAAGCAGCTTTATTCCTGTGTGTGTTTGTGTTGTGTGTGTGTGTGTGTGTGTGTGTGTGTTGTGTGTGTGTGTGTGTGTGTGTGTGTGTGTGTGTGTGTGTGTGTTGTGTGTGTGTGTGTGT